GTCCCCTATCGTTTTACAGTGAATGCAACTTGGCAATATTGTTGCATTTAGAGTATCGTCTTTAGAGCGTCCCCTATCGTTTTACAAGTCAACGGTAGCATTGGCGATCTTCGACAACCGCCTGCTTTACAACCAATATACGATAATTTTGACCTCATCTCAAATATATATATATATATATATATAAGCCATCTTATGTTTACCAGCCGGACCTGGTGGCCCAGCCCAAACTCGGGAACCATCACGAGCTCCGTGGCAAAGGCCGGACTCGGCAGGGCTTGTCGGGGGTTGAGTGTTTAGGGTTTAGGGGTTGAGGGTTTAGAGGCTTTCCGGTTTCAGGATAGCTGGTTTTGCCCTACGTTCATTTGAACGTCGGGCCAGAACCAGCCCAAAGCAAAGCTAAAACCCTGCGCCCTGAAACGCCAATACTAATTTTACTGAAGCCTTCAGCATCAACCCCAAAACTATAAACCCTGAAACCCTCAAAAGGTAACGCGCCCTTTAGTGACCATGGTGTTTTGGCACCATGGTCTGCGGCGGCGTTTTCAGGAAATGTCGGTAAACGTGTGGTTTTGTTTTGAGGCTTGACTACACGGCTTGCTTTGGATGCTTCGAATACATGAGTTTTACCAGGCTTTGGCTTGCCGAAGCCACACAACACTGGTTTTGGTGGTATATTTGTAGCTTGGCGAGGCGAGTTTTTGTAGGCACCATTTTTTGTGCCTTCTTTTTGTCACTTCTTGTAGTCCTTGTTCTTCGAGTCGGCCAGCCGACTCAGCTCCGTCCATAGCTGCTTCTGAGGAGCTCGACAGGGCTCGTCTAGGAGTGTTTAGTTTTGCTGATACTAGAAAGTTCGCGGGAGGAGTATGGCTCGTCTGATGGTCTGCGAGCTTCTAGCTTCTCAGACATGTCAGTTCCTGGAAGCGGGCACACGGCAAATGTACACAATGCGCCAGAGTACTTTACAGTGCTTACGACGATGCGGTGTTTCGGTGGTGCTGGCGGTGGTGTTGCTTACGACGACGTGGTGTTGGTGGTGGTGTTGCTTATGACGACGTGGACGGTGGCGGCGGTGGTCGGTGGTGCTGGTGGTGTTGCTGCTGCGACGACGGTCGAGTGGACGTCATTAGCCCCCCCCCACCCCCCCCGACCCCGACCCCCCCCGCCCACCCCCCCCCCCCAACCCTGGACCCGAAACCCTAAAACTATGCCAAAACTCCATGGTCGTTAAGGGGCGTGTTAGCCTAAACGGCCCTAAACTCTAAAGCCCTCAACCCGTCAAAGGAACCCTTATCAATAAAGGAACCCTTACACCGCTGCAGAGATTGAACAACAGGTTTAGGGTTTAGGGCTTTAGGGTTCCAGGGTTTAGGGTTTAGGGTTTAGGGTTTGACCGAACCACAGGCCTTCTGGTGACATGCCATAAGAAGAGTGGTGCACCCGGCTTCCTGACGGCTTGGGGTTTGGGGTGCAGGGTTCAGGGTTCCATTTTAAGGGGCCTATAAGCGATTGATAGGGGTTGGGGTTCTTACTTCCCCACAAAGCCAGGGGAATAAAAGGTTAAACTTCTAGATAACTACTAAGTTATAAGAGCCCAAACAGCTTAAAGGTCGGGTATTGGGGAGCTAGGGGTACTAGGGTTCAGGGTTCAGGGTTTAGGTTCTCAGTTCTGATTGTGCTGTCTTTCGGGGATGGTTTAGTCTCTATCTTTTCCGAGCAGGTTGATGCGTTTTGTTGGAAGTTGAGGCAAATCCACGATCGACTTCCCACATAATGTTGTGGATCCAGTCGGCGCAATGGCTTAGCTGTTTTTGTTTTGAAAGGGGGGTGTTAAGTGTAGTATAAGGGCTCTAATTAGTAAAGCAAGGTTTTGGGGTATATCATACTATAACCACAATAGGGACTATAGCAACTTCTGTTTATTGCGACTCCGTCATTGAGGTAAGGCTTCCGGAGCAAGCTACGGGAAGCGAAGTCGATATTCGAGACGTGGTGAGGCGTTGCTGGGCCCATAATCGCAGGCCAGGGCCGATATTCAAAAACGACAGGATAGAGATGCATTCTTGCTAACGAGTACCGTGCCGGTAGGTAGCACCTGACATAAGAATATGCTGCATATCTCTCGTATAGTATCTGACAAAGATGCTAATCAATGCTGAGCTTCAAAGTGTTGTCCGCCAGAACTCGGCAGCCATGTTGAAGCAGCTTCATCTCCTTCGGTGACGTCACAACTCCCTTGAAAAGTCGTCATGCTTGGGGGCCTAATATAGGGACCTTCATAATTAGAATAGGGTTTTGGGGTCCATTATTCTATAATTATAATAAGGAGCCCTCCCAGTATAATATTGGTAATTATTTAGGCTCGCTGAACCCGGCATGAAATGAAGGAAAGGCCGACGTTTTGCAGCAGTCGATGTGCATTCGCCGCAGCAACCCGAAACCCTAAACCCCAAACCCTAAACCCTAAACCCCAAACCCTAAACCCTAAACCGTGAAGGCAATCCGAAACCCTAAACCCCTAAACCCTAAACCGTGAAGGCAATCCGAAACCCTAAACCCTAAACCGTGAAGGCAATCCGAAACCCAAGGCCCCGCTCGCCTCAAAGCTCCTCAAGTCCTCGTGGAAGAGGCTCCCTCGATGATCCATGAAGATCATGGCCTCTCAATGCTTAGGGTTTAGGGTTTAGGCTTTAGGATATAGACATGAAGATAATGGCCTCTCAATGAACAAAAAATGGCCTAGGGCTTCCAGGTTTCTGGACCTTCGTGCTTTATGTGCTTTAGGACTAGGGTATACGTGAAGATCATGGCCCCTCGCGACAAACCCAAAAAAGGTTCAGGGCTTTTGGGCTGTAGGGTTTGCGTTTTTTAGGACTTTAGGTTTTAGTATTGGGGTGTAATGCTTTAGGGTTTCGGGTTCAGGTCCAGAGTTCATTGCGGTGCAAGAGGTCCTAGGACCTCTGCCAAATAAGTCTTGTGCCAAAGTCTGCGTCAATCTAGGTATCCGGCTCAAACACTTGGTATCAGACTCAAGACACTTGAACATAATCAGAACACGGTTATACTATGAGTAACAACATCACAGAACTGATGGATAGTTAGATTCAGCTAATGTAGGGGCCTAAATAATTACCAATACTATTTTGGGGGCTCCTTATTACAATTATAGCAATGGGCCCCAAAACCCTATTCGAACTAATAAGACCCCTACATCAGATCGGATAGCATCCCTCCGGGGCTTCATGGCTGGGGGCAAGGCCACAGAACGCTCTCCGAAGCGCTCCAGGACGTAGTGGGCGACGTCGCTGCTGTTCCCGACCCAAACCTTCCATGGCAGGGATGAGGCTTTTGATGACAGGCCTGCCGATGATGCATCCGACTCTCCATGCACGTCCCTGTTTCTCACAACATTCCGCGCTAGTCTTGATCTACCCTCGATCTGCAGCCTGCGCAACGCAGCTACTTCCCCAAAGACCACCCCTTCAGCATGTGCTGGTCTGCAAGGCTGAGCTGGTGCCGTGAATTCGTTGTACGGAGACTGCGCTGACAAGGCTTCCTCATTCTGCATGACGTCACCGTTGGGTGACCTAGCTCCGTCAGAGACAGGCTCTGCTGCATGTGGAAGCCGCTCATATGGCCAGCCGTATCAATCTGAGAGCTAGAACCTGGAAGTACTCTGATGCCATCCCTGGCCAACACTTTATCTATCCGGCTGCTGGTGTGAAAGCCTCCACATGCACGCCATTCGCTTTGCATTTGATGCTACGTCCGGCTCAGAGAACCTGTCATCTGCTGCGCGAGAAGCAGCTTTTTCTCTGCTTCCGCGCCTTCGCGTGCAGGCGCCAAGCCTAGCCAAGAGTCTCCAGGGGCACCTTTCTGGAAGACCGAGAAATAGTGGCGCAAGAAGATCTCCCCCAAGATCATGAAAGGACGGTCGTGAGAGCCATACTCCATGTTCATGATGCCCGGCATGCAGTCACCAGTGAAGGCGTTCCGAATCATGTAGACGTTGGGGGGCACTCGGATCTCTTGGACGGCACTGTAGTTGGACAAGTTCGTCCCCACCTTACCGGTTCGGGGTTGAAGGTCTAGAGCTTCTGACCGAATTGAATTGGGACCAACGTCATTGCTACAAGAACTATGCATGGATGCACAGAATTCTTTGGCGCCGTATGTCTTTACCCTGCACCAAATCTGCAAGCGGGGGACAGTGAACACGAATTCTGGAAGCGTGTGGATCTTGTCACAATTCATCGGCCACACCTTTTCCTCGGTTCCCCAGTAGCCCCCAAATAATAAGGGTACCCTTGTTCCTACTATTTGGCTTTATTAAGGGAACCCCAAAAAGAAAAAAAGGGCAAAATGGTACTACTGGGGAACCTAGGAACCTTAAACCTTAAACCCTAAACCCCTAAACCCTAAACCCTAAACCCTAAACCCTAAACCCCAAACCCCAAATAGAAGCCCTGGATTCCGGTACTACTGGGGAACCTAGTTTCGGAGATCTTGTTGAAGAGCCTTCTGGGTGCTGTGAAGAAGGTGGTCCCGCTATCAACGAGAAGGACCGCAGTCTTCGGCCGATCCTGGCCGAAGAAGACCTGAGTTAAAGGAAACTACAGGTGGGGAGTTTAGGGTATATAGGGCCTAATATAACCCCCTTGGGGTTCGGGTTTGGGGTTTAGGGTTTAGGGTTTAGGGTTTAGGGGAGTTTAGGGTATTTAGGGCTCCTATAAGGCTTCTATAAGGCATATAGACGTTCTATAAGGCTCCTATAGCGGTAACTAAACACCTGA